CAAAGCAATATTGTAAAACAAAACAAAAAAAAAAAAAACCTCTTTGTTCAGTGTTGGCACCAAAGAATGCTTTTAACAAACGTATCTGTTCCTTATTGAAAACACTAACAAACATGTGACACTTGACCAGAAAAAGTTGAACCAACTTTTACGGCAGAACTTAACTCAGATTTTGGAGTTTAGGTTAGAGCCAGTGAAATCACATAAGGGCATTTAAAGGTTACCATTAATACAAAAATAAATATAACCTTCAAGGTTTTCATCAAAGTGCAAGATTTTCCTCCGACATTTTGTATTTTTACTTACATAACTTGGTGTATTGCTTTATGAATCTCTTACAGGTTATCTTTAACACAATATGACCAGTAAACATATGGTTTATCAGGAGGTGGTCGGCACAGTGGTGCGGTGGTTGGAGTTGGTTGGTCTACACACCTGATTTGAATGAATAATTATCTATAGAAACTGAAGAGTTAATTAGTTTACTGAATGAGATGTGTTGGAGCAGAGAAACCGGTAAAACATGCAGGATAGCAGCCTATCTCAGGATCACCTCCCAGCCTGGAGCCTTTCTGGGTGGTGTTAACACGTTCTCGTCATGCACCCGGGGCTTTTAACTCCAATTACTCTGGTTTTCTTCAACAGACCAAATATTTGCATGTTTAAGCTACTTAGTACTTTAAAACAGTACCTAGGTGTGGATGGGAGTGCGTCTCTGTGATGGACTCATAGCCAGGGTGCATATGTAAAGAAGTGACATCTTATTCTAAAATGAACCAAATTGACTCCGTTTTTTTATATAAAAGTAACAACTTCTGTGCAGAAAACTCAAATTTCCTGATACAATGTAACCAAACAAGTTTCGACGTTGTGCAGAAAACTTTCCACTTTGAAATGATGAACAATAGCAATAATTATTTGTCTGATGTTTCGGAAATGTAAATGAGAAATTAAGACCAAGTCTTGACCACTAAGTTGAAACAGAAACTATACGTTTATTCAAAAATTAGATCATATCTGACATCTTCTGTTTCAAATACCTATCTTC